GCATTAGGATAGGGGAGGATAGCTGTTTAATGAGAGAGTTCTTGCTGGGATATGCTAATATATATAAATCGTTACATGTTTCTGATTGAAAAAATAAATTTGAATTTGATATTAACAAAGTTAATTTTAAATATAACAATATGAATATAACGATAACGATAAAGATATAAAAAAAAACAATAATGAAAATGGTCCATGAGTAACATCAGAGTCATCAGACACACAAGAGAAAAATTAATATAAGGTGTAAAAAATAATTGAGTTATTTTTTTTCTCTCCCTTTTCAAATTTTCGGCGATACGTGGTTTTCCCAAGCTTAAGGAAAAGGACTGGGATAATTGCCAGAGATAAAAGCTCCTCTTTCCTGGAAACAGAATTTGATCGCGTAATCCTTGTTTATCTTGTTACTAACCAAGCGTGTTGTACACACGGCTTTCCCGTCCCCCAAAATAATTGAGATTTGAGAATAGTTCTCTTTAATATTATAAAGTGTAAACACTTTAGTGTTTGTTGGCATATTCACTGACATACAAAATTGTTTTTCTCTCCGAAAGTAGACGGAGCTAACACCGTTGTTAGGGCGATTGGTGTAACATTTCATAAATGATTGTTTTATAGTATTTTATTCTCTTGATTATAGTTGATATGTATTGAATATTCATTAAATATATTCTCAATCACGATAATGCTCCAGGGCGTTTGACGTACGTGACAGACACGATTACGGTGTTCCCAAGCCTTATCCACTAAACCGTGAAAATAATCTTAATATGATTATCGGTCCCTTGAGAAAAATTAACATAATAATAATGGCCGGGCGGAGAGGCTAAAATCCTTTAGTCACGACTGCCTGATATCTAGTCTGATGTCTGGAGCTCTGTCGATGGACACTTGAGGCATGCCATGAAGGTGGAAACCTCACATATTAATTTAGGGCCGGTCAAAATGTTTTTCCTTATCATCATATTGGCTGTGACAGCCATATAATACAAACTATGAAAAGAACTAGCTCCAAAAATGGGTTAATATTACATTAATGCGTTCAACAAAACAAAATAAATTACTCCCATCTAAAGCAAACTGTCATAACCTGTTTGATAAATAGCTTTGAATTTAAAATATACATTAATAACAGTATTGTTTGCTATTAGTTTTTTGATGAAATGGACAATCCTTCAGAAGTTAATGTAGCTATCTTCCTTCTATAGGAGACTGTGTTGAGACGATCCATATACAATGAGTGTTAATATAGAAAATAATTTTTGATTTATCAATTGATTGATATTTCGTTTCATTGATGCATCAATGAAACGAAATATTATCTGCATTCGATATTCGATAGTATCTGCATAAATATGGAAATATCAGTATTTCTTACATCAGTGTGTTTGACTAGAGAAATAAGTAGAAGAGGGTTCAAATGTTAGATTGTTAATAACTTTGAAAGCAATTTCGATGTTAATAAATTTTAACAAAAATATGAATTATGGAATTATTACTGTAATCTGTAAAAATAACCATTAAATTTCTTAAACATAAATAAGAAAATATATAACGGAAGATGGTTTTAATAGATATAATGGAAGAATACTGCATGAATTCATAAAAAAGACATGGTATAAGTATTAACATTCATTATTAAAAAAAATATATTGTAAAATTAACTAAATTGAAAATGACATAATGACTGAAACCTTTCAATTATACTTTCATTATAAAAAGAAAAAAACAGAAAAGATTACTGTGTTAGAAAAAATTAATTCGGCCAATATTTCTAACGTCTATGAAATCATGACATGTTTATATCTATGCCTTATTTTACGCAGATGACATAACCCTAGTGGATGACTTTTAGCAGAAACTACAGCCAGCTATGCTTGAATAACAAGAGGGGTATTAGAAAGAAATGGTCTATTTATCGACATAAATAAAAGTAAAGTACTCCATCTGAGAGGAGAGCTTCAGGCAATCAATATAATAAGTAATGGTCAGTCACTTAAACAAACTGATGACTATACATACCTGGTTGTTATAATTAACAGGAATGGGAAAGTCAATGGTGAGGTCAGCAATAGGATTAGGAAATCTAACAATATTTACTTCCAAATGGGTAAATTCATCTTTGGTAACATGGAAAGGAACATTAAATTGATGCACTTTCCAACTCTTCGGTAGTGAAACCTGAATAATCCTAGACAAACATAAAAATAGAATTACTGCATCTGAAATGATGTATCCCCTAAGAGTGGCGGGAAAAACCAGATGAGTTTTCTTTGAATTAGAGCTGGAGCCACAATGACAGATACTCGAATAAATACAGCTTAACTGGTATAGCCGTGACTGCAGAATGGAAGGATATAGAGAACTCAGAAACTTCAATGAAGCTCGACCAACAGGTAAAAGGTCTAAGAGTACACTTCGACTGTCTTACGAAGACCACATATCCAGGCTAGAGGAAGTCGATGGGAGATGTGAGTGCATTTGCGTGAGATCGGGATGCCTGGAAACAACTCCACGCTGAGAGGTATAAAGGAAGGAGGAAAATAAGAAGATATTTCTATGCAATTGTGTTTAAAAATACTATAATTTTGAAATATTCTTTAATACAGGAGCTGTTTTTGTAGATTTCAACTTCGATTGATTAAAATTCCGAATAGATATATCGAAATATATATAAAGTATTTTCAAGCCATCCGAAAATAGCGTTGGAAGCTTTGCCATGATAGCGAAATATTTACAACCAAGTATATTATTAAATACATCATTAAGTTATTTATTTATTGAACATTCATGCAGGTACAACAGTTTCTTTTCGTAAAAACAGCTTTAAAATATAAATTACTGGCTCATACTGTTTTCAGTTAGCCGAGGAAACATTAATTTTGACTTTGCACTATAACCATCCCTGAAATCAATTTAGAACTTACCTCTCTGGCTTTAATAGATTGGAAACTGTTCTTCCTGCCCAAGCTTGAATACTTAAGAAGTTAAACCCAGATGAGTATACGGACATGCAGATCATAAATTTTTTTAGTTAACTATAAGTTAGTTGAAGAAGCAGCTACTGGCTCTAATTATTGTTTTCCCATTCTTTCTCTGGACTTCTAACTCATATGTATATTTTGATTAGTTTTATTAATAGATAGCTTAAGTTTGTTTGGAATTTGTTGAGGCCCGCTGGCAGTAGCCAAGAAAGGCCATAAAGCTGTCACTCCAGCTGAGTGAGGTAGCGTGCAGAGGCTGTGAAATATATACCCGAAGACAGAGCAGTGTTCTCTGCAACTCGATCTCCAAAATGAGATATTGTCCATATTTCCAGAAGACTGGCTAACTGATTGTTATCAAAGCCCTCTCTAATCCCTCTACTATTAATTCCCACCTTGACTTGGGATTAACATAGCTAATATCTGATTGATTTGCATAACTGACCCCTCGGGATTTGCATTATACACGCCGCCGAATTATATTTTCGATATATGTAAATTAATAAAGTTATGAAATAAATATATTCCAATAGCACTCTCTCCCATAATTTACAAATCAGCCGAGGTTTCGGGAAGGATGGAGAAGGCAATAAATAAGGACCTCTTTATTATCCTGGCTTCCTCCTGTCGTAGGGATGGTCGAGTTACGGCCTTCACCGGTCCAATCTTGTGTATGCTGCCTCTTCCACAGCTCACATTTCTTCTTTTGTAAAACTGCTTTTACCTACAGAAATATTTCATACTAACCAAACACAAGGGCCACTAAACCACTATAACAAGGTTTCAGTCGATGATAAACTTATATTTTTAATAAGATATAGTTAAAATAACTGCATCAAGAAAAGTTTTAGACATGGAGTTTCCTTGTTACCGCCAAGAATGGGTATCGCAGATGTAGAAAGGATTTTTGAAGCTTAAAATAAGAAATATATCGACAGCCATTCTGCAAAAGCCTATCGCCGTCGTTATAGAATTTGCATCACCTAACACTTTTGATTCTTAAGTTGATTGCATTCAATGTTTTTGTTTACGTATTTAGGTTACAACAAAACTTTAACAACGTTTTTGAATTCAGTTTTAGCTAATGCCAGAATAAAAGTTTTTATGATGACCAGTTACCCGAAACTGTCCTGATCAAAAAATATTAAAATTGTGACGTTATATGAAATGAAGGAATTTTCACAGGAAATAGTAACGAGAACAGGGTACCACTAATCAAGGGTAGTCATAGTTTTGACAAAAAGAAAGGTACCATCGGGCGAAAGAAAAAAACTGGTAGGGGAAAAAAAAAATTTGACCACTTAATGGAGCGACTGCTTTTATAATATCGGTTCGGATTGTTGCAAGAAATATTCAGAGATCTTGTAGATAGAAATGTGGTAAATAAAATCAAATTTTTTATTGGCTGATGCAATTTCTATGATCGCGACTGTAGCTCTATCTATTATGTTTCGTGGTGTTTTCTGTAAATTACCTTCAACTATAGTAACGAAAGATCATTTTTAATGTTTAAAATTATGAAAACAAATTTTAGAAGAACCATAGGCTTAACTAGACTAAGAAATTTGAGTTTTGAAAATTAAGTGTTGGAAACTTATGTTTAGAGAACCTAAGAGATTTACGGCAAGAATGACTGTCATATCATTATCTCAGAAAATGGTGTTTTAGTGATTGATGTCTGTGTAAAAATCTTTAAAATTTATTTTTTTACAGTCTATCTCGCCTCGATCCATCGTCTTTAAACAGCCCAAGTTTTTTAATGAATTTTATTGCAGTTGTAGTAAGATTTTGAAATTTTAAAATGGCATTTGTCACTTCTGTTCATGAAATTCCCTTTCGTTTGATATATCATTCATCAAATCCCATCGCTCCATCACTGAAAATGAAAATACTACCTACCGTATTATATACAGCATACGTCAATCTTATATAATGAATTTTTTTTTTCCACAAATATTTCCTTCATAATTATATTTTTAACTTTCTTATTTGATTGATTTATATATTTTTTTCCAGGCAAATGAGCTGGAGGCGACGGGGAATAGGTGGCACCCTCACCTGAGAGCGCTGCTCCAGCCATCGTCAATTTCCCGGCTACAGGTAGGTCACTGGAACTCATCACCTGTGTAATCGGCTTCATCAAATATAATAATATTTGGACTTAACAAAACAGTTAAAATTCATTGGAACAAAACAAAATCACAACAAAAAGACATGTCTTTAAAATGGATTCCAATAAAACTTTGATTTTCATCACTGTATTTATTATATTTTTAATATATACACGCCATAACTTTATAATTCTTCGTTAGATGTCTTCCATTTAGTGCAGAAGCTTTCTTAAGTTGTGAAGTTTTAAAAAACTATTAAATTATTTGAACAGTTGTATTACTTGCAAACTCACATAACCTTATGGATTTTCTCATCCTTGGATATTCCATTATAAATTAATTGAAAAGTCTCCTAATTAATTCTTTAATCATCCTTCCATGACAAGTTTTCCACTTTTCCGTAGATTTTCTTCTTTCTTCCTTCTTCCCACCCTAAAATTATCACCGCAATATTTCACCACTTCAAAAAATAGATAAGTTCATTAGCTCAATGTCCTTGTTGAAGATCTCTTTATCTCTTTCTTCTGCCCATGAAAGTCCATTCAATAACTCTTCTCGGTCAAGAGTCAGTTTTCTTCTTCATTCACTCCATACTTCTTGCGTAGATGGTGGTTTATTATATGTGTGCAGTTAATACTTGTTATCTGGCAGCACTGCTGAGTTGGTTTGACAAAGGCAGGTTGGCTTGGGTGAGGTCACACAGGGAGTAGTAGTCCTTTGTTCCTGATATTGTGATGTTTGTGTAGAGGAATAAAAGTGTTATGTGTACTGTGGCGAAGAGTTTATCAACAAAGCCTCATTTGTTTTCTGAAGTGATTTCCTGACATCACATAGTGTCATCCCTTGTTTGGGAAACTAAGGATAATGAGTGCTGAAGAGTTAAAAACTGCCAAATAGTTAACAAAGCCTCATGTGTTTCCTGACATCACATAGTGTCATCCGTTGTGTGGAAAACTAAGGATAATGAATGTTGAAGAGTTAAAAACTGCCAAATAGTTAACAAAGCCTCATTTATTTCCTGGAGTGATTTCCTAATATTAAAATTTGTATGCATTCTATCTTATTTCATTCATATTTCTATTGACTATTTAGTAATTATTTTTATTTTCTGTAAATATTGAGTGAACTTGAATAAATTTATGGACTGTTTAATATTGTCCTCTCACTAATGAAGGTAGGGAAGGTTTATATTGGATGTCCCATAAATTTATTCCTTCTTCTTTATTTGTTGTTGATTTACTATGTATGTTATGCATGAACCGTTTTGCTCTATTACCTTCTTTGATTTTTGAGGAAGCCTCTGTATACTTTTTCCGAAATTTTTGAGACATATCTGCAAAATATTTGAGACAAACAGAAAATTCATAAAGATAGATTTGTATTTCGTTTTTTGATTTTTTATAAGAAGAGAATTTTTAAACGAACGAAACAAGTAATAATTGAATGGGGTAAAGTCTGGGGAGTGCGGAGGATGAGGTAAAAACTTTAATGCCGCATGTTGCGTTGGCCGAAAGACAGAAACTCTTACAGTTTGATTGGGAATTTCTACCACATCCTCTGTACTACCCAGACTTGGCCCCATCCCAAGTATTACATATTTATTTCGTTAAAAAATTTCTCTCCGTGATAAATGCTAAAAATCCAAATACGAAATAAAAATGCATTTTGATGAATAATTTGCAAGAAATTTCAAATAAAGGGTATAAGAGGCTTCCTGAAAAATGGAAGATAGTAATATAGCAGAACGTTTCATGTATAACACAGTCAATCAACATTCAATAAGTAAAGAAAAACGAAAGAAGCTATGGGACAGTCTAATATTTATGCATGAAGTGAACAAAATACTTATTCTCTGAATCCAAAATTCCCACTGTCATTTTATATGTTTGTCACCATAAAACAAATTTCGTTCCGTGTCTGGCAGTCTGTAGTAAAATTCTTATGACGGTATAACATCCACCATCGTGATTCCGATGTGCGTTCGTATCTAGATATCCATGATTAGCCTGTACTAGTTGTAGGACTAATTCTGTATCAGAGCAAGTTACATGAAGAAGAGGACAAGTTATCTCTCAAACGAAAAAATGTAAATGATTAAGAAAACATTCAAAATTACGAATGTTTATTTGTTAAACTAGACTTAACAGCAAGAAGGGAGAAGAAAATAATTAATTAAGAAATGTCAAGACTATAAACATATATAATATGTAAATTCTTCCTTTTTATTTGCTTATCGATAATAATAAGTTGTCGTTCTTCAATTAAAATGTATTAATAAAAAGGATTAAATAAATCCACAAAGAGAAAATTACCACCAAAAATAAAAAACTTTCATTTAATTTTTTTTTTGTATTTTTGGTCTTCATTTATCAATAAATATACAAAAACAAGATCAAATCTGCCTTGGATTACTTCATAGCACTCCAGTAGGTACACGACTGGATGCAGGCTGTTCGGACATCAAGAGGAACACCTTTGGTAAGCAGGAGCTCACATGTATTCTTCAATCCAATTTACACTCTGGTTCGAAAAGAAAAGTTTATTTGATACGCAAGTTCATTTATTATGGTAATGGTTTCCGATAACATTGTGAAACTGTTAGAACAATAACAATATCATCCGTCACTATCTTATTTTGCAATAGGAAGTAACGGAATCCTTCAAAGCTAGTGGGAGCATAATAGATCTATTGTGCTTGGCTATACCCGCAACGCTGTCCAAGTAGGGCATCTAGGTCTACGAGATGCGGGTAGTTGTTGCCAATGGCTGATGTTTATTCTAGATCACTGGTTATTTATGCAGCTATGCTTTCATAGCTTGAAACTATCTTCTGAATATTTTTTCTACAGTAACATATATTTTTTTTGTCTCAATTATTTTATCTGATCTAAATGTCGATCTTCAATAGTTGTTTCCCTTTTTTTAAAACAGAGAAAACATTTTAGAAACGTTAACAGCAACTTCTGGTCTCTCGGAGGGCTCAACTTCTGTCTTAGGATTGTCTCATAATGGGACTAAAATGTAAATTTCTGACAAAATGCAGAAACATCATGTTTTGATAGATCAAGAAACGGAAAGAAATATTTTTAAAAATCGGAAGTCACATCTTTTTATTTTTATTTTTTAAACTTTTATTATGATATTTACAACTGTATTAGTATGAATACATCAAGTAAATTTGTACAGAGAAATATTATTACATGAAACACGCTTGTTGAGAAACTACCCACTGGTAGCATTCTAATAATTTGTCTACATGAGAAGATCACGAGGCCATTTTCTTTTCAGACGCCTCGGAGGGTTATCAGGAATCGAAGAGGAAGCAAGGTTAGAAACAAGAGGATTTGGATGGTTATGAAGTTTATTATGGAAGGATAGGTATCTGGATTTGGCCAAATCGGAAACATATGGAACATTGAGGTCTTTATGGATTATTTTATTAGTGACAAAGTAAGGAGCATTGAGGATTTTACGAAGGATTTTGGATTGTAAGGATTGGATGCGAGAGGAATTCGATGGTTTAGTGGAGCCCCATAGCTCAACTCCGTAAGTCCAAATAGGTCTTATTATAGTCAAGTATATGAGTCTTTTGTAATTAAGGGGAAGTTTAGAGCGTTTGTCTAGTAAGTGTTGGAGTAGTCGGAAACGTCGAGCGGTTTCTTGTCGTTTCAGTCTGGTATGAGGATTCCAAGTTAGACGTTTGTCCAAATGAAGTCCAAGGTATCGGAATTGTTCAACAGGGATAAGTGGGGTATTATTAAAGGATACTGTGGGACATGAGGTCATAGGTTTACGTCGAAGGGTAAAGGTGATTTGATGGGATTTATTAGAATTTATTTTAATCCTCCAGTTTTGACACCATTCTTCAAGGCTTTTGATGTGTGATTGAAGAGTTTGGGATGCAATGGTTGGGTCATTATTAACGGATAGGACACATGTATCATCGGCATACGTGGTAATAACAGTGTTAGGATGGGTTGGGATGTCAGCTGTATAAACTGTGTAAAGGATAGGACCAAGGATACTACCTTGAGGAACTCCGGCAGATTGAGAAAAGAGGGATGAATTGGTATTATTGTGATTTACTTTGAAGTGCCTATCAGTAAGATAGGAACTGATGATAAGAAAATATGTAGGGGGAAGGAATTTACGGAGTTTGTAAAGCAATCCCGGATGCCAGACTCGATCAAACGCCTGTTCAACGTCGAGAAAAACTCCAGTGCAATACATTCCGCGCTCCAATGCAGAAGAGACTACGTCTACCACACGATGACATTGCTGGATAGTGGAATGGGATGTGCGGAATCTAAATTGGTGATCAGGGATTATGTGATTAGAATCTAGGATGGGATACAGGCGTTTTAAGATGAGCTTCTCCAGGATTTTGCCCATGATGGGTAAAAGAGAGATAGGACGGTAAGAGGATGGGTATTCTGGTGGTTTTTTGGGTTTATGTATCATTTTGACTACAGATAGTTTCCAAGGGTCAGGAAAATATGTGGAACGGAGTACGGCGTTATAAATGTAAGTAAGGAATAGAATGGCTTTTCGAGGAAGTAGCTTAAGAATGTGGGAAGTGATTAGGTCGTGGCCAGGAGCTTTGCGGGAGGGTAATCTTTGAATAATATTGGATATTTCTGAAGGATGAAATGCTTTAGGAGGAGGAGTCATTTGAAGTGGAATATCCAGTTCTGTTTCAATACATTCAAGCTGATTTGGATTAAGGATATCAGGATGTGGATTAAAAGTTTTGAAGAGGTGATGAGCAAAAATTTGGGATTTTTCTTCATCAGATTTGGACCAAGTTTGATCTTCAGTAAGAAGTGGATGATTAAAGTCTTTGAATTTCAGGAGCCGTTTAGTCGTCGTCCACAATGATTTGTCGGTAGGTGTAAGTTTTTCAGTAAAATTTAGTAAATTTTGAATTTTATATTTTCTAATTTCTGATTTTAGTTTGTTAGTCAGTTGGGTATAATGAGTTTTATCTGT